TTCTTATATTCAAATGACCTTATATTCATTCATCTGTATAAATTCTGTACCTCCTCCAACACCAGAAGATTCTTCAAAGCAAACAATCTTATTTTTGTCTTTGTATGCTCATTGTCTAGTTCAGTGCCTTTTCATATAGTACATGCTTAGTGTTTGTTGTTGAATTCAGTCCATAAGAACACAGAATACAGTCAAACTAGATTGTATCTTCTTAGCAACCACAATAAGAGAAACATTCAAAATAGCAGTTACATTTACAACACATTGATGCTTAATAAACTTCCACCTTCGGACACGATATAAAAGGAAAATTAGCAAGTGGTTCTAATAAAACCACACCGTCAAGAGTCCAACTGTATTACTAAACTGAACTGATGACATTTCCCATACTGAAGAACATAAGCATGGCAGTAGTTAACATGACATAAACACCCTGAAAATCTGCCAATGTTGAATATAAAGGATCAAAAATAAGCCCTAAACAACTAAATTGAATAATGTTTATGTGCTTCAGAAACCTTAAGAACATACTACTTACTGGACTAGAGCTTTCCACAGATGGAATCTGTTTCAGAAACAGATTGTGGAGGACTGACCTTTATTCATAAATTTCAACAGCAAAAACTGACCTCAGCTAGCCAAATTAGAATTTATTCTCATAAAATTAGTGTTTTTCAGAAGACTTACAGAGATGAAAAGAAAAGGGTTGAAAAGGAACAAAAAATGATAAATACAATAAAGCAAATTCATTTACTGAACAAATATTAAGTGCCTACTGTACTCAGAGTACTGTATTAGGTCCTGGAGGAAACAGAAGAATAAAGTGTGGAAGTTTAAACAGAGGGATACAAGGTATAAACAAAGATAAATAAATATAATGCATATTATTTCCTTCCCAGTCTTCCCCCGACCCCAGCCCCAATTCCATGACAATTATCTACCCCTACTTAACCCCTATAACTCTCTGGTGAAATTCAGATCCTGGGAGTAGTCCCTAGTTAAACACATTTTAGAACTTTAAATATCATATATCTATGAACTATTAGCTTTGTTGTTCAAGAAATCTCACAATATAATTATATGGACCATCTAATAACTTACCTGTTTTCTCAGATATAGAGGAAAACTTGGGGAAGGAGCCTATATCCCAGATAAATATAACTACTATTGTTGTTCAGTCCTGTCCTACTCTTCGTGACCCCATGGACAAATCCATGGTTTCCTTGGCAAAGATACTGGAGTGATTTGTCATTTCCTTCTCCAGTGTGTCCCCATTTTACAACTGAGGAACTGAAGTAAATAGGAGTTTAATGACTTGCTCAGGGTTACACAGCTAATAAGTGTGTGAGGCCAGATTCGAACTCAAGAAGATGAGTTTTCCTGAGTCTAAGCCCAGTGCTCAATCCACCACTCCACCTAGCTGCCTCTTAGTTTTTCAGAGAAGTCCTTATTTTTAAAAAAATTAAAATAAAATAAAAAACAATGAAACAGTGTAGTTGAAATCAATTTTATAGAAGTCTCCTGAGGAGTTCTTCAGGGATCGATTGGCTGTGCTATTTAACATATTTTATCAATGACTGGAAAAAAGCATATGACATGCTTCTCAAATTTGCAAATGACACAAAGTTAGGGATAGCAGAACATGTTCAATGACAAGACAGAATTCAAAATGGTCTTGTCAAATTAGAATATTGGCCCAAATCTAGCAATAGGAAACATAATAAGGAAAAACGGAAATTCTTACAAATTGAGTTCACAAAAACCATATAGGAGAGTTATTGTTGAATTCCCTAATTATTTCTAGGGTCAAATATAAAGTTATGTTTTGGTTATTCAAAACCTGCTCCCTTCCTACCCTTCCAGTCTTCTTACACGTGGTTCTCCTCCACATCATGAATTCTATAATCCACAAATGGCCTACTTGCCATGGCTCAAACAGGATACTCCATCTCCTATCTCCATGCATTCACACTAACTGTCCCCATAACTGAAATAGTCTGCCTCTTCACCCATACCTCTTAGTTTCCCTAGCTTCCTTCACAACTCAAGGATCACATTCTGTAGACTTTCCCAGTCCTTCTAGTGGCTAGTGCCTTCCCTTCTCAGATTATCTGTCATCTGCTCTCTATAGCTTGTATGTACGTCTCCCAGACTAGAATGTGTGCTTTTTCAGGACAGGGACTGTTTTTGCCTCTCTTTGTATCCCCATAGTAAGTGTTTAATAAATATTTGCTAATTGAATAGGCTTTCTTCTCCTTTTGCTCTCACTTGGCAATTTCATCAGTTCTCACTTATCACCTCTATGACTGTGATCCTCAGATGTATATATCTAGTCCTAGTCTCTCCTTAAGCTTCAGTACCATATCAGTAACTGCCTACTGGACATTTCAAAACGGATATCTGGCAGTCATTTCAAATCCACTATGTCCCACTTCAGTATCATTATCTTTCCTTCAAACTTTACCACTATGAATTTCCATATTACTTAGTATTAAGGGCACCACCCTCTCCTAGTCTACCAGTTCTGCTATCTCAGTCATCCTAGACTCCTCTTATTCACCTTACATATCTAATCAATTTCCAAATTTTGTAATTTCTTTCTCACAGCATCTCTTGCATATGTCCCCTATTTATGGACAGGTTATTTCCATTAAAATCTAAGTTCCTGGAAAGCAGAAACTATTTTTGCTCTTTCTTTGTATTCCCAGAAATTAGCACAGTACTTGGCACCATGTTTAATAAATGCTTGTTGATGGAGTATAGCTAGACAGCAGTTTGTATGGGAAAAAATGAGGACTATAATCTCACCACTGCAATAGAAACACCATAATGGAAAGAGTCATTTAACCTCCGTGGGCCTCAGTTTCCTCAACTATAAAATGATGGGTTGGAATAGGTGACCCCAAGAGTCCTTTCCAATTCTAAATCAACTAACTGGTGATATGACAGCTATTACCAAATTATTTAAAAAGGTCCCAGAGGGCAGAACTAGGGTGAATGAGTTAAAGTTGCAAAGAGGCAAATTCATCACAATGTAAGGGAAAATTTTTATCAACAAATTAAGAATTTTGGAAAACTAGTTGACTGGATGACCAATTACTTATCTGATATGCTATGGATGGGAGGTTTGTGGGGTTGTCTCTTCTCTCCCCAACTCCAAAATCGATTGGACTAGATAGCCCCTGAGATTCCTTCCAAATCTGACATTCTTATGAAATAGGGAGCTCTGGAAATCTTTGCATTAATAATTAATATCAAGTTTATATGCTGCTTTATGACTTAGGATAGTTCTTTTCTCACAGTGGGCAAACCACAGTTGAGGGAGTAAACTTAATATTACAGTAAATAAGTGAATAAAGCAAGGGATAGAGGACAGCTAGGTGGTGAAGTAGATAGAGACCAGGGCCTGGTGTCAGAAAGACCTGAGTTCAAATCTAGCCTCAGATACTTACTGGCTTTGTGACACTGGGCAACTCACTTAACTCTGTTTGCCTCAGTTTCCTCATCTGTAAAATGAACTGGAGAAGGAAATGGCAAACCACTCCAGCACCTTTGCTAAGGAAACCCCAAATGGAATAACGGATCTGACTGAACACACACAAGGCACAGAACACAAGCAATCTATCTGAAATTCAGTGCCCTTTCTACCATCTGATGTTCTTAACCTTTTTTGTGTCAGACCCTGTTGGCAGTCAGGTGAAACCTATGAACCCTTCACAGAATGTTTTAAAATCATCATTGAAAATAGTAAATTTCAGTTACAGATTAGTGAAAATAAAAATTTTTTCCTCTAAATGCATCGATCCCGTGCATACATACCTGTGGTCCATGGACCACAGGTTAAGAGCCCTTGCCCTTTACCAACAAACACTTATTTAGCATCTGCTATGACGAACCGTACTAAATGGGTGAACTACACAATTCAGAAAAGACAGTCGCTGTCCACTAGGGGCATACTGTCTAGCAGGCGATGACAATAATTGGAATAAGTAAAACACAATACTTATTATTTGCATTTTAAAGTTACATATCTGAGTTCTAAGAGAGGTCAGATCAGTCCTGGGATTCAGGGAAGGCTTCTTGGAAGAGGCAGTTTTCGAGGAGGGCTTTTAAGGATCATCAGAGGCAGGGAGGTGCAGGGCTGAAGACATGGCCTCAAAGCCACAAGACCTTCTTTTAAGTTCTCTCACCTATACTGGCTGTATGACGTTGGCAAGTCATTTAATCTCTCAGTTCTCTGGCTGATTAAAACTATAATTTACAGAGCACGTGCCAGCCTGCATTGGTAGAGGGAGTTCGCTACGCAAAGGAAATCAGGAGTCCGGTCCTCATGCCTATACCTTTTAAGGGTGATAGACTTGGATGTGGAAGCGGGTCTTCGAAGTAATCCAGTTCAACCCCCTCATTTTACCGATAAATAAACGACAGCTCACATGTTAAGTGGCTTTGTCAAGGTCACCCTGCTTGTGACAGCACTAGAATTAGAACCATTAATAAGACTTTACACAGGTGCAGGTTACATCCTAAAAGCACAATTCTTCACTAGACAGTATTTTATGATTTGGGTTTCCTATCACATAAAGCCTCTTCCCTCGGTCCAGCCCTACCACCTCCCCGTCCCGGGATCCCGGACCCCGTCCTAGCCCAGGAGCAGGAAGGGAGCCCGGGTAGGGGTAGACAACCGAGATATCCTGCCCACGGCGGAAGTGAAGGGAGACGGAAAATCACGGCGGAAAGTCGGGTGTAGGGTCCCCATGGTAAGATGCCACCCCCACCCTCAGACACGTCAGTGTCTCTAAGACATAGGCCATCTTCCTCCGCCACATCGGGTCACGAAGTCAACTAACTTCACACCAACAGCTTCGGGCTGCAGCCGGAAGTCACTCACAAAGAGGGGAGGGGAGCCAACACAGGAAATCCCGCCCCCTCCATCTCGAGGAGACGGTGGCTCGAAGGAGTCGCACCGGAAGGGCTCGGTGTTCGCCTCCAAGCAGGTAAGTCGCCGTTCTTATGATGGTTTCCTGATTGCGGTGGTGGCCCTCGGGTCTGTACAGACTCCGTCGTTAGACAGAAGGCCTCCCGTCCCCAAAGTCGTGTTTCCGGTGCTGGGGAGGCCGCTTTCCAGGCACCTGCTCCTCGCTGGCTTTGGGGGCGGGGCCAGCGGACGGAAGCAGGAGGAAAGAAGCCGCCGGGCTCTTCCCGAAGCCCAAGGTTGTTCCGTAGGGTCAGACAAATGTCGAAAGTTTTACAAACTTTAAGCCTTTATGGATGATTCAGTTAGTAGAGGGAAATCCTGACCCACACTCTGTGACCTCTCTGTCTCAGTTTCCTCGTCTATAAAATGGGGATAACAATAGTCCCCGCCTCACAGGGTTGTGAGGATCAAATGAAATACGTATAAAGCGCTGTGGAAATGTTCTTTATTATTGTCAGGGTAGGTAGGTGACTCAGAGTGTAGGGCCTGGAGTCTGAAAACCTGAGTGCAAATCCGGTTTCAGACACTTAACTAGCTGTATAATCTTAGGCAAGTCATTTAATCTCCGTTTGCCTCAGTTTACCCTGGGGGTTAATAATAGATCTTACCTCAGAGTCGTCGACAGAATTAAATTAGATAATTGTAAAGTGACTTCAGTCATTTTCAGTCGTGTCCGATTCTTTGTGATCCCATTTGGGGTTTTCTTGGTTTGCCATTTTCTTCTCTAGCTCATTTTACAGATAAGAAAACTGAGGCAAACACGGTTAAGTGCCTTGCCCAGGGTCACACAACTAGTAAGTGTCTGAGGTCGGATTCGAATTTAGGAAGATGAACTTTCCCGACTCCAGACCCAGCATCTATCCACTGCACCATCTAGCTGCAACAACTGTAAAATATATGTGCCAGACACGTGCTATATAAATGTTAAGTGGTTGTAGTCCTCATGATGTAGTCATCATCATCATCATCCTTAGCTAGTTACTTGCCTGGTGCAGTAAGGACTCGGGAACAAGGTCAGGACCTGGAATCTTTCAGTCTGTAGTCACCTTCCTTAGGAGTATTTCTTTGTCCATCCCTGGTTGAATTTTGTTCAGAGTTGATGATGGGGGAGGGGTAAGATTTTTCCCAGTTTATAGCTTCCCTTATTTTAACTCCCTATGCCTCATCTCTTCACCTATACTTTGCCTTTATTATTATCTGTAATCCTTCCACCCTAACAATTTTATCTCCTGTCCCAATCTTGATCACGTACTTAGCCAAGTTCAGTTTCATACTGTCCTCAATACAGATGTATAGGACAAAGTCATTCCTTGATGGATAAATGGACAAAAGATATGAACAAGAAATTCTCAAAAAAAACCAAACTGCTAACTATTAGCAAATGCATGAAAGATTGCTCCAAATTACTCATAAGAGAAATGCACCTTACATTTAGCAAATTTTCAAAGATAACAAAAGAAGAAAACAGTCAATTCTGAAGGAGTCAGGGAAGGACACACTAATACACTACACACTAATAGTAATATTAATACACTAATAAGGTGAAGCTATGAATTGGACTTAAAAGCCAGCTCAGTGCACTCTGGCTCCTTGGTATCATTTGTGGGCAGTAAGATTCTAGTAGGATTCTGCCTTCTCTTCTTATATAGTACAAGTTCCTTAATAAATGAAGGGAGTCTCTTCAAGCAGTGGTCCTTTTTTTCTGTGATAGAAGTAAAAATGACAGCGCCTTCCATGAAAGAAAGGCAAGTTTGCTGGGGAGCTCGTGATGACTACTGGAAGTGCTTGGATGAAAATACCGATGATGCCTCTAAATGTAAAAAGTTCAGAAGCATTTTTGAATCAAGCTGCCCTCAACAGTGGGTAAGTAATGCTGGCATTTATTCGTCTTTTTATGTAGATAGGGAGACAAACTTTCATTTTTAATAAACTTTATTAACATTTAATAAATATCATTTATGACAGTGCCTGTCACACAGTAAGCACTTCATAAATTCTTGTTAATTTTATGAAAAATGTCTGAATATATTGTTGCTCATGTTTCCAAAATAAAGTATTTTGTGGTAGAGGAAAAAGCTTGCCAGGTGTCTGTTTAAAAGACTTGGATTCACATTCCAAGTTCTGCAACTTTGTGACCCTGGATAAGTTACTTAACTTCCCAACCTTAGTTGCCTCATCAAATAAGGGGATTGAACTAGATTATTTCTGAAATTCCACTCTGCTCTAAATTTGTTATTCTATTAACAGGATGATGAAGTTCTCCTTAGTTCTTAATTGCCACTTAATAATAGCTGACATTTATATAGTACTTTTAAAGTTTACAAAATGCATTACACACATTTTTATTTGAGCCCAGTTCCAGACTGGGACAACACTTAAGCAAGTGCCATGGTAGTTAATAAACAGATAAATCAGGTGTTTTATCTTTTATAAAATCAGTAATCTTCTCCAGAATTTTGCTAAAGACTGTATAGTGTGTGTTAGGATACCATGAAGTCTTTAGTATCACTACTGGTGCTAAACATTATCCTTGATTACCACTGACCCTATGAGGCAGGGGAGAGGGGGGCGAGGATGATAAGAAAGTTAGGAGGTAGAAAAAATAACAATAAGTACCTGATCCTGGGGAATGTTACCTCTAAGAGGTACTTGATGCTGCCTCAGGTAAAACCCTCCCATCTGTCCCCCACCTCTCCATCACTACACACCCAGCTCTAGGCTTTTATCACCTCTCACTTGGACTACTGCAGTATCTTCCTAATTAATTGATCTCCCTGCCTCAAGTTACTCCCCTCCCCAGTCAGCTCCGCACAGCTGCCAAAGTATCATTCCTAAAGCTGAAGGCTGACTTAGTCACTCTCCTCATCCTAACTTCATTGATTCACCATTATCTTTAGAAACAAGTACAAGCTCCCCTCTCTGACATTTCAAGCCCTTTTTACAACCTGGCTCCAACTAGCTTTCCTAGCCTTATTCTTTATGCAATCTTTGGTCCCATCTGGCTGATATTCTTGCTGTTCATCAAACATGACATTCCATTCTCCACCTCCTTGGCTTTGCACTGGCTGTCCCCCATTCCCACGCACAGAATATACTACCTTCTTACTTTTGCTGCTTAAAATCTCAAGTTTTCTTCAGTGCTGAGCTCAAATACCACCTGAGGCCATTCCTGACCCTCACTACCCCCTCCCCCAACTCTTAGTGCCTTTCTCCCCAAATTACTTTGTATTTATTTTTTATATATTTTAGAGATACTGATGCATATGCATGTTATCTTTCCCCAGTAGAGTAAGCTTCCTTGTGGCAGGAACTGTTTCACTTTTATCTTTTTATTCTCCCACTGGGTAGTACGAATTCAACAAATGCTTGTTGGTTGGCATCTTTGCTATGTTATTTACTCTTGGTTTTATGTTGAATAGGATAAGCACATTTAAGTTTACATGTACTTTCCTCACTTTATCTATGTTAGAATTAAGTAGGATGTTGAAGATCAAGTTGTCCAGTAGATCCATTCGGCGCATGCAGCAATGAAAGTCAACATAACTATTTGCCTAATTTGTAAAACTATTTAAATCAACTTATCATTTGTATTGAAAGTTATGCTTTCTTGATAACCAAGTCAATTAACAGTTTATCAGGTTTCCACATTAGACCTTATTATCTCTCACTGGACTATTACAGTAACCTTCTAATTGGTCTGTCTGCTTCTAGCCTCTCCCCACTCCACAGCTGCCACAGTGATTTTCCTTAAATGAATGTCTGACCGTGTGACTACCTTTCTCAATCAACATCACTGGCTCTCTATTGCCTCTAGGATAAAATAGAAACTCCTCTATTTGGCCTTTGAAGCCCTTCACAACCAGGTTCCAAATTGTCTTTTTAGCTTCAGTGTTCTCCTTTTCACACTCCAGTCTAGCCAAATTAGCCTTAATGCTGTCCCTCTCACATGACACTTTTGTCTCCCTTCTGTACCTCTGCACTGGCTGTCCCCATTGGCTGGCATGTACTCCCTTCTCACCTCCACCTCTTAGAATCCTTTAGATCAACTCATTTTCTACACAAAGCTTTCCTGATTCCACCCACCACTACCACCACCCCCCCCAGCAAAAAACAAAACAAAACAAAACAAAAAAACACCTGTCAGGGTCCTCCCAAGCTAAACTGACTTGTATTTTTTTTAAATTCATCTGCATATGCTTTAATTGGCATTTATTAAATGCCAATTAAATATAAGTAGGGGCCTGCCCCCAGTTTTAATAAATAATATTTACAGAGATGTTATAAAGGATTCATGGTTGGTGCAAGCTGGAGGCACGGAAGGAAAGCACTCAAGGCTGAGGGTTCAGGAAAAGTCATGTTCAAGGTGAGGCTTCAGAAGCTGAATCTCTGAGAGAGTGAGGGGTTTTAAGAGGTAGAGGTGAGGAGGGAGGAGTACCTTCTATTGGCAAGGGAAATGACAGGTGCTAATGCATATAGATGGGAGATTGAGGCTAGTATGTGACTAACAGAGGTAAGGTCAGTTTGGGTGGACTACTTTGTGGAACAGGAAGAAAATTTGGGACTTAGAAGGTTGGTTGAAGCCAGATTATGAAGGGCTTCAGAAAGCGAGAGAGGTTTCTCTTTGATCCTAGAAGCAATAGACAGCTACTAGAGTATAATGCAGGGAGTGCCATAGTAAGATCTATACTGTAAAGGGGATGGACGGTAGTGGGGAGAGATGAGGCAGAGGAAACAACTAGGAGCAAGAACCCAAGGGAAAGTTGATAAGGGCTTCAACTAAGATTGGTGATTGTGTGAATAAGAAGGGGACAGACTCAAGAGTTGTGGTGGTATTAGAACCAAGGTTTGGCAAATAATTGGACAGGTAGGGGAAGAACCAGACAAGTAACGTCATGAAAGCCTAGAGAAAAGGGTGTGTATAGAACAGATGCTCTTAACCTTGAAGCTATTGGGGGGGGGGTCCTGTAGATAAGAGTTGGGGGAGCTGCCCCCACCCTGGGCACATTTGTGAACTGGAATAGAAGTGAATTACAACTTCATTTTCACAAACTTTTAGCTGTAGCTCCTTCCTCCCATTGGTATAGAGAGCTCCCAGTGATGAACTTCTACCAAAGCAGATCTTTTCTGCATCTTCCAGTCTTTGAAGTGCCTGGGTAGAATAAGTAAACAGAGGATATGAAGAGCCATCATATTATTAGAGATTGTAATGAAGGAGGACAGAGGTGGATTACATTGAGGGGTTTTGAGATGAAGAGATAGACAGAAGTGGATTACATTGAGGGGTTTTGAGATGAAGAGACAGACCCTGGTCAATTTTCTCAGTAAATTAAGAAGTCAGGTCCTCAGCTGAGAGTGTGGGAGTAAGGGAAAGGTATGGTATGCTTGAGGAAAGAAGAGAAGGTTCAGAACAGCCTCTATGAAGAGTTCTAAAGAGAGTCAATTAGGGAGGAATAGAGAGAGGCCTTGATTCAGAGAAGACCCAGCTGAAGTGTGGTGACATCAGTTTGTAGTGTACCTAGTCAGCTTGGTTGTTAGACTTCTTCCAACTCTGTTCAGCAGCATGTAAGTAGGAGGGAAAAGGTAGATTATAGGAGTTATTCAAGGTTGAGGTTTGGCAAAAGTTAAGAATTGGGAGATAAGATAAGGGATTCAAGAGCCTATAGGATGAAATTGAATTTCACTAACTGTGGTCAAGATTGGGAAGGAAGGTAAGTTTAAAAATGGAGTGGAAGGATTAGAGATAATATATTATCTCTTCCACACTGTGACTTTTCCCATTGCGGTTTTGATATATTATGGGCCAGCACAAGAAATTAAATGGGAATTTTTTGGGAGTTTTGTGGAAGCTGTAGATGACACAAAAAAAGTTTAGAAACTCAGAAATGCATTGAAATACATGTATAGTATAATATAGCCTATGACCAAATACTTAACCCAAATTTTACAATAAGGTACTGTTAACACCCCTTACCCCCCCAAAAAAAAAGAAAAAAGAAAAGAAATTCAGACTTCTTCTCAGGTATGAAGGGAGGTCCAAAAACTTTTATACAGATTTTCCAGATTGTTGGGGTGCCATGCCCCCACAGTGTGGAAGGGATAACTGTAGTGAAGGCAAAGTATAGGTGAGGAGATGAGGTTATGATCAAAAGAGTATGTCATATATGTATATTTTCTTCTTACAGATTTCATGTTGAACAAACACTATATATTTGTTAGTTCACATCAATTCTGCCTATAGTTTTGTCAGGATAGATAAAAATCAATGAGTTATTTTTTTTTAATTTTATTTTAAAATAGAAATTGCCATTTGAGGTTGATATTAAAATGTTTTTTTAACGAAAGGGAAAAAACTCCCTCCAGAATCCTGTATATAAACAGATGTCATGATGTAATTGAAAACAGCATTGCATAGTTTATAGAGCCAACCTTAGAGCCAGGAAATCCTTGGTTCAAGTCCCACCTTTGACCTAGACTAGCTGTGTTGACCCTGGGAAGTCACAGTACTGTAGGCAGCTCTTAAGCCTAGAAAAAGTACCAACCTGCATATGAGTTTCTTCATCTGGCAGTTCCCAATAGCAGTTAAATAATAAATAGCTTCAGTCCCCATAACTATTAAAACCATTAAGAAAAACTGGTATTTTACTCTTGGAAGAGACCTTAGCAAGAAGTCATCAGTACAACCCCCTTATTTTGAACCTAGGGAAGCTCAGGCTGAAAGGGCTGAAGAGTTTGCCCAAGGTCACTCACTAACTTCATGGTAATCCCAGATAGTTCTAGTTCCTAATTCAGTGATCTTTCCACTATATCATGTTGACCTTTATTACAGCTTTTAATAATACATTCTTTAAAAAGTTTTGATGCCTTTTGTTTTTATAGGTAGCTAGGTGGCCCAGGGGACAGAACAAGTACTGGGTCTGGAGTGAAGAAAACCTGAGATTTGGCCTCAGATATATATTAGCTGTGCTACCCTAGGCAAGTCATTTAACCTGTCTGCCTCAGTTCCCTCATCTGTAATATGGAGATAATCATAGCACCTACCTCCTAAGCCTGTTGTAAGAATAAAACATTTGCCAAATGTTCTGCAAACCCTAAAACACTATATATATATGCTGTTATGCCAGTCATTTCCCAACATACCCTCCTGTATAAATAACCAAGAAAAGCAGTTAAACAAAACCGTTTGACAGATTGAGTATGATATATGCAGCATTCTGTACTTGTGGTCTCTTAATTCTCTACTGAGGTAGAATTGTGCTTCATCTGTTCTCTAGGACCAAGATTGATCATTGCAATTAATTAGTTTGGTTGCCTTTTAGTTTTGATTGCATCATTGTAGTTGTGTTTATTGTTCTAGTTGTAACAGTTCTCTGAATTCTTCTTTCTCATTTCTTAATGGATAGTAGGATTGTTGCAATCCTGAGTACATGGTTATCTAAGATGTAAATACATTTATAGCCTTTTGAAGAAAGTCTGAAACATTTTGCAAACAAGGAACTCCGTGCGCTTTTGTGAAGTATCTCTGATAGTTCCATGAGAGGAACTGATGGAGTAGAAAAAATCATTGGAATTGCAATCAGAGGACTTGGGTTCAAAATCCAGTTTTGCCAACTTTGTAACTTTTGGCATTTAACCTCTTTGGGCCTCAAATTCTCCATCTGTAATAAAGGGGGAGTGGGGCATGGTGATCATGGTAGATGAGATACCCTCCTTCTCAAATCACTTCACCATGTTCACATTTGAAGCAGTGGGAGGCCCTGCCACAGCCTGTTCTCCACTGGTAGCTTTTTCTAGCTTGGGAAGCACTGCCAAATTTTCATTATTAGTATAACCTTCAAGAGCCCAGAGTCCCCTCTACGTCACAATGAAGCTTATACAAAATGAAGTATGTTTTGTATAAAAAAATTTATTTAATGTACTCATACTAATGATTTAAAGTAGTCACTTTAGTGTAAAAGAAAGCAACCCCAAAAATCAACAAGTTTTAAAACCAATAATTTTAATAGCAATTAAGTTGTAAGAATGACATCTGTGTTTCTCTATTTTGTGAGAAGATAGTGTATATAAAATTAGATGGTATTTGGACATATTAGTAATTTTGAATTATATCCATTCAGGTTTTCTCTTTTTTTTCTAAGTGGGTAGAAACGTGTACTTAGTGTCCATGCACTTTCTAGAAGGCATTTTGGTTCTCAACCCTACTTTAAGTCATATTTATTTATAACTCTTATTGTAGGCTGCTTTAAATTTAAAAAGCTTAACTATATTCATCATTTTTAATGAAATCTTAATATTTTATTTTAAGAAAAATTTTCTATCAACTCATACTGATTCCAGCTCTAAATCTTGATTCTGACATATGTACATACTATAGAAATATGTTCAGATGATGATTCAAATTATTGACTTTTAAATCTTTGCTCTTATTTTGCCATGGTGTCCTTTTTACTTTGTCTCCCTTAATTGTGTTTTCTTTTTAATAGATTAAATATTTTGATAAAAGAAGAGATTACTTAAAGTTCAAAGAAAAGTTTGAAGCGGGACAATTTGAGCCTTCAGAAAGAACAGCAACATCATAGCTCTCCGTTAAAAAAAATTTTTTTAACAAATACTGAGACTTCTTTGTGGACATCATTAAATATTCCTTTGAATGCCAGATTGCCTGAATTTCTATGAAGTATGACAGATTGGACTCATTGTCAGCACAGCTCTTTTGCTCTCAACAGTACTAGAAATGATCAAGAATCCAACAGAATATTTAATTCATCCAGGGAATAAAGTGATGTAGAACACTTAATTTATATTGTGGAAGTTGGTTTTATTGTTCACTTTCATAACACAAAGTAAGTAAACATAAGTGATTTTTTTTTCTTTTCTAGATGAGAACCACATTTGAATGTGGTAAAAGAAGTTTTTGGAATTGATACTTTTAAGTGTTTATATATGGCATCAACATTTTACTTCACTGAAATTTAAAAACTTGAAAGCAAACATTGTAAGATATGATGCAATATATAATTTCAAGGGGGTAGAGTTTATATGAGTCAAACTAAGTATTTTGCTACATGTGATGGTTAATAAACAGTTAATTTGTAAATAATGTAGTCTCTTTAAGAAAATATAAACTGAGGTCATGACCTGGGGCCACATTAGAAATGTTTGACAATTGTCATGATAAATTTGAGAAAAGATATCAGCAAGCTTACTGTGTTGATTTATATCTCTGTTCTTACTCTCACCTCTGTTTTCAGGAGCAGTCATCAAAGGATAACTGGGCACAGAGATTGTACTTTTTTAATTAAATTATACCTTTTCAATGTAATACCTTTTTAAAATAATATTTTAATTTTTTCCAGTTACATGTAAAAACAATTTTTAGCATTCATTTTTTAAAATGTTGAGTTCCAAATTGGAATATAATACCTTTTAAGGCCTAATAGAAAACACTAGGCATCAGAAGGCTAAGATTTTAATTCTACTACTACCACTGCTACTCACTGGACCTTGCATTTTATTCTCTGAAGCTAAGTTTCTTTATCCAGAAAATTGGGTGAGAGGTCTTCTACCCTGCCCATCTCCCAGGGCTATTATGAAAATTAAATGATTAAAGAACTAGAGGCTAAAGGGACTTTAGAAGTAACCTAGTACAAATCCTTCATTTTACAGATGAGGGAATGGAGGCCCAGAGGTCGAATTTGAACCCAGTATGTGAAACAAGCTATATAAAGATTCCACACATGGGGCAGCTAGATAGTGCAGTGAATAGAGCTCTGGCCTTGGAGTCAGGAGGACCTGAGTTCAAATCCAGCCTCAGACACTTAACACTTACTAGCTGTGTTAGGGCAAATCACTTAATCCCAACCACCTCACCAAAAAGCAAAAAAAAAAAAAGATTCCACGCAGCTTCTCATCAATTGTACTATTAATTCAGCTCTACCTTCCATATATTCAATACCTTGATATCCTTTACTAGTTTGATTCTGACTTAAATGGTAATGACTAATGACTACCCCCAAGACTTTACATAGCACTTTTCAAACCTCTCTCATATAGGTATCATGTGTTTTGTATTCTAGCCATTTCTATAAATAATGTGTCAATAGATGGTAAGCTCTGTGAGGGCAAGGACCACCTAAACTTTGTATTACCCAGTTTCCTAGAACAGGGCTCTGAACATTTCTGGAAGAGCTTAATAAATATTTCTTGAAATGAAATATGAAATGATGATAGAACCATGATTTTTATTAAAGAACGCAATACCCAAAGTTACTTATTTCAAAGTAATATTTAATATTTTAAACCAATAAAATAAATATAACACAAAAAACTTAATACAAAATTATCTTAAATAAAAGTTTAGCCTGTTCCTTAAGTGCATATAGAGTTTAAAAATATATCTCAATAGCACCATTAAGTTCAGATAAGGCACAGAACTTTCTATTTTTGTAATTACTTTATATCTCTTTGCTTGATTATCTGTTGCCTAGTATACTCCCAAATTAGTAAAGCTCCACTCACATGAACATTAAGGGAGCGTATGATGCCATGCTGAGGAATTTCCACACACACATCCAAATGCTGAATCAGGTTTGCTGGGATTCCCTCACGTTCATTTCTGATGAGGGGAAAAGGAAACAAAGGCAGCTTTTCATATAGTCATAATGAAATAAGAATACTAATTTTAACATGGGCATGCAAGAAAAGTAATAAAAGGACCCAAAAACACTTACAATAAAATACAAGTAATCCCAAGTTCATGTTCTATGCAAAGTCAAAAATTAAAAGGGTAACAGAAAAAAAAAACCAAAACCTTCTGCAAGCACATAGCCACTGGCCAATGACTGGGACTTCCTATCTTGAACAGATCTA